CATATCTAGTCGCAGGTGCACAGATACAGGTACAGATAAAGATCTCCCCGCTAATCCCCCCATACCGCCTCCATCTGTACCGGATTAAGGCTAATCCCGTGGTAACCGCAGTCTTCCCACACAATCACATCCGGATTAAGCCCGTCGTATGTTACGCATCGTGATCTGGCAGGTTTAATGTGGCCTAGATTGTGTAATTTTCAAGCAGATTCTGTGGGGAAGGAGAATCTATAGTGCCAGTATCCATTGGCCTTCTGGTAAATTAATGGGATAGTAGGGTGCTATCCCATCGATTCACCATATAGAGAATTGTGGTGGCACATGGTGAAAAAATGGGATATAAAAAATAACATACACTTATTCCCATAATACCGACTAGCACGTTTTTCACAGTCAAATACTAGTACTTTTCAATACTAAATAAATGGGCATGTAGTTCTTTTATGACAAAAATACATGTAATGCCTTCGCAGACAATATTTTTTCAGCACAAAACATTTTCTATTCTATAAAACCGAACAAGAGTTACGATATAGATCACACATACTGTCTGCAATAAAATTCGCTCTGACATTGAAATATGTCTGATTGATTGGCCTATTCTCACAACCATTATTAGAAGGAAATCGCCCGTGAAATTTTCATAATCAAAAACTCTCCAAACACCATACAGAAGCCATCACCGTCACTCCTGACATGGTTGGTCTGACTTTGTGAATGTCAAATACTGGTTGACGCACTTAAATCGAAAGGTCGCGGGTTCGATTCCTGGCATTCACGACTATATACCTAGTCTAGTTCCCATTTGTGTTAGAAAATTGGATTTACTTGTTGAGGTTTAAAACAATTTGTCTTCATATTCACGGAAATTTTTTTTCAGATTTGAGATGGATGTGCGTTTGACATTCATACATGCACGTTATAGCTCCACCAGTCCTAGAATATTGACATGTAGTTCACATCTAGCTTAAAGTGACAATGATTTTCTCTGTATTAGGACGCCCCACCATAGAATAACCCGCACGTTTAGCGAGCGAAGTTGTTATGTTCACAGTGCCTAGAGCAGCTTTATATTCTGTAGATATACAAACCTGCGTAGCAAAATATTGTTCCATCTTTTCATCGCTACCAAATTACCCTATCATGCTACGCTCTGACATGTAGCTTGTCAGTATGGAGTCCATTGTTTTTTGGAGGAAACAGATATTTTCGAGCTCTTACGCTTTCTTCTTTTCCTTTTCCGTGTTTTCACTGATTCTAAGAATTTGTGATTTTAAGAATTTGTTTCCGCATCATAGTTGATGACAATTTGACGATACACAATGCTAGTACAACAAATATATGTTTATCTTTGTAAATTATTCACCAAATGTTTAAAGGACTTTGACGAACTGGATGTATATAATTGTTCATTGTAGAGGTTGGGTTTCACAAAACATTATTTAGTTATATCCTAAACTTGCATCATCTGCTGTTATGAACGTCTTTAAAGTATGAGTTTCGTAGGTATTTTTACATAACATTCATATAGGCTGTATGTGTAGAGTTGTTGAATGTTAGCTATTCGGGTCATGTTGACAAAACTAACACAGAGTCCTCAGAGATACCATCAGAATGTCATAGATGACAGGACCTGACACCAAAGGTAAACTTTCCGCCATGGATAAGGTAAACTCACCAGTGTCTTCACTCGACCAGGCGAGGTTTTCTTACAAATTCCTTGACAATCGGCCCTCAAAGACTGACAGGTCTTATAACAATACTGTACGGTCTCACGGGTCTGAGAACAAGCAACTACTGGGGGCACTAGTGTGAGTGTCGTTCGAATTCTAGGTCAGTTTGAAGCCAAAAACAGGTGCTATAGCAAGCCCCTAGGACGCCAAAATCTTATCGTGCTAAACCACATACATGTACATACATACATACATAACGTTACATACATGTACATACATACATGTACATACATACATAAATACATACATACATACATGTACATACATACATACATGCATACATACATACATACATACATGTACATACATACATACATGCATACATACATACATAAATACATTAATACATACATACATACATACATACATACATACATACATACATACATACATACATACATACACACATACAAGCGTTACCAAAAACATAACTTCTGGCAAATTTATAACCATAGTGTTGTTTTTATACGGACCGTACACACTGACATATTTCTATGACTACCAACAAACACACCTGTTCAGTATCCTTGGCCTCATGTCAACTCACTCAATATAATTTTTCTGGTTCAAATAATAGTCCACTTATGTGCCTTCTCACTCACTCAATCTCTCACTCACTCACTCACTCACTCACTCACTCACTCACTCACTCACTCACTCACTCACTCACTCACTCACTCACTCACTCACTCACTCACTCACTCAAACGTTCACCAACTTTCTGTCACGACGATATTATGTGCCTAGAACATACAAACGTTATGTGTGTGTGTCTATGTGTTATGATTCCAAACACCTATAATATCTACTCAACACTCTCCTTTCGGGAAAGCGTTACTGCCGGTGAAAACAGTGAAACTGTTCGAAAAAAAAGCTGTACTAACCTGTTCATATAAACCACAGGTATGAACATGTGCCGACCTGTCGGTGTAAAACACACAGTCGGCCCCAACGGATGTCAGTCAGGTATTACACCGGAAGAGAGTCGGCAGAAAAACCGGTTCAAACCTTAGCTTCCCCCGGTCGGGCTGTGTCATTTCACAAACACAGGGCCGGCTATGTCTGAACACTGAGGCTTAGGGGCATTAGTAACCTGTCATGTCGTCTTTACGTACGTGCTGATTATGACTGACAGAATGAGACGTTCTGGACCAATACATTACAGAGGTGATCGTGTGAAGCGCGAAATCTAATGAGAACGTGGGCGATACCACTGACGCATTTTGAGGGGGTGTTTAACGTCAACTCTTGATTTGATTCATTAAACTGTACAAAAATATATACAGCCAGGACTGACCAACTAGCCGGAGGCTATCGCCGGCTACATAAAAAACTATGTTTTTAAAAATATGTAGTGAATCCATATTTGCATGTTCATGCCCATGGGGCTAGATGCATACATCAGAGTATGATGTTATATGTATATCATACTGAGCAACATAGTACATAGACGTATTTACAAATATAGCATCAATGATCACCAAAGGTATATAGCCTCTACCAGGCTTCGCAAACGGCTTAAAAGGGAAAAGAAGGCGAGGAGTTGGTCCGCTAAATAAACTGAACTGAGTACAGTTTGCCGGTTATTATTTGCGAACCAACTCCCCTGGCATATTATTTGACTATTTGGCCAATTTCTACTCTTTTCAGTCTCTTCTCGAAGCCTGGTAGAGGCTACTAGGTATGTTTCCAAGTGTTCAAGACATTATTGAGGCTTCATAACGTCTTAGAGTACCCGCCTGATTTATAAGACTTGGCGTAAGGTATTGATAGGATCCTCTTTCTAATCTTCGAGATCTTCCACTGGAACCTTAAGCTTTTCAATCTCATGACTCTTGTGTGGAAAGTCAATAAACTAATCTGGAGATCTCTCCGTTCATCATGTTCTATAATGGTACTGTGCGCACTGCCATACGTGTCTAATTTGTCTCCGTGCTTTCTTTTTTGGGTAAGAATGCCAGTGAAAAAAAGAAAGCCCGATGAAAAAGCCTGAAATACGCAAAAAAACTAAAACAGTAACATTTGCAAAGCAAATGCATGTTTACTTTTGCATATGGTCTGCTCTGTTAATTCTTACTCGAACACATTCACATACTAGTATATGGTGACAGGAGTCTAAATCCCTCCTGCTATAAAATTGCAACATGATGTAACCCGACACCAGTTACCATGGTGAGAGACAGTCTGGTTCAGTCAGGTCAGAGGTCACTGTTTGGAGAAGAAGAAGAAGACGAAACGTAGCAAAAACAATATGTTTTCCTTCGAATTCGGTAAACATAATAAAACCAAACCCAAACCTCTGCTTGGAGAGTACTGGTATACTTTGATTTGTGGTGAGTATCGACAGGAGGCGAGGATGCATGGTTGTGCCGTGATTGCTGTACAGATGGTGTGGTCACGTCTGGGCTCGGGTCTATCGGAGTTTGTCTGTGCGGTGCATGCGCGGTTTCACACCGCTGGTGACGGATGGTGAGGTCCGCTTCGGTTAACACAAACTCATTAAGGACCAGTCGTGTGCTGATGATAGCCTCGTGTACAGGCTTTTCTAGCGGCCTGCGTTTGTTTCTATGAGCGCAGTGGCTTCTTTACGTATAAGGGAGATGGCTGTATTGGGAGTAGCCTCTGTCAGGCTTCGGGAAGCAGTTGAAATTGGCCAAATAGACAAACATGACAGGGGAGTTGATCTATGAAGAGTACAGTTTGCCGCTCCTGGACCAACTCCCCTGGCATGTTATCTGTCTATTTGGCCAATTTCTACTCTGTCCAGACGCTTCCCGAAGCCTGGTAGAGGCTATGTCGGGGGGATAGCTGTACTGTACTGTATTGGCCAACAATGCAGTTCTCTTGCCTCGCATCAAATTCGAGCCGCTAAAAAAGCCTGCACAGGAGGCTATCTAGATGAATAGTTTCATTAGGTTGGTAAATCAGTGGATGTTAAAGTTCTTCATGCACAGCGAAAAGAAAATTATTTTCCTGTGAACTTTTCAGTAAATCTTCCGCTACCGTCCCCAGCGACAACATTTCACCCTATTCACTCAATAAAAATTTGTTATGAAAATGCGTGAATTAGTGTTTCAGGGGGTTTGAAATTCAAATGTATGGCTATGAATTATATGACGTACCGCATCAGTTGTATGAGTAATGAGAAAATACTTGCTGGCGAAGTTTTAAAGTCGTTGAAATATTTCAGGTATCCATTGGAAAAATGTATAAAAATCACGCGTCAAACACTGAGCTGCACCCTGCATCTGCTTGGAGATTGGGTCAGTGACTTCAGGCAGGTCAGAGGTCATACCTGTCGTATTTTACTTCCGCCTGAGGCAACTTCACAACAACTGGTCAGGTCGGTGTCTGTCTGTCTCATCTTTCAGCTGGTCTGTTCAACAGGTCATATGTTTACTGGGTCGTGGCGTCTGACAGTGAAGACCACACACTACTGAAAGTCGGTCAACGTTTCCCAGATATTATACTAATTCTACTGGAGGCTAGCTGATAGCACGAAGTCAGTATCAGAGGTAAGTAGAGTTTGTGTTTTTCGGTGTCGACACGAAGTTTGAGTACTTGAAATAAGGTGAGAAACTCTACAGTACAGGTCAGTATGTTTTGTTCACACCGCCCCCCTCCCTACGATAATCGGATGATTTGATAGGGACGATTCAGGAAGGTTTTGATATCAACAAGGAGGTTTAAAATCATCAAGGAATGAACGATATTCCAAGTCAGAAGAAATCAAGGTTGGCTGACTGACATGTCTGTTCACTCTGTATCTGATGCATTTGTTTGATACATAAACGAGGTTTGAAACAGTATAAAATCGTATTGTGAGTTGTACAGTACAGGTATGTCATAATTTTCGCCCCTCCCCCTACAGTTTTTAAAAGGACTGTGCTGTCCATGTGTGATGTAACGTTAAAATACGCCGCCGCCAAGACATGGCGATGAATTCTGTCGTCCAAAGCCCTGGTACATCTCTCGTGCGCTCAATTTATAACATTCGGACGAAATCTGCTGAAATATTCCTGTATTTTGGAATTTTGTGGGGCCTGAAAGTGAGGTTTTAAATTTCACGGGACAGTGTTGCTGCAGCGCCGCTGGTATATAGCGGCTGTACCTGGAACTGCAGACAATACAATAATACATGTACTAGTATATACATGTGTACCATTTTGCTAGTTCCTCAATTAACAGAATGAATTACAAACTTTCCAAAGGCAAATACAACCATGTTTTAGAATAGAAGGGGATGCAAATACATTAAATAATGTACTTTAGAAAGTACAGTAACCATACATATGATACATGTATGTAAGCATACACTTCTAACTTCATACATATCTTTCGTGAATATGTATGTCATCAGTTAGATGCTAAGATGACAAACAAGATGCTAAGAAGGTTCTCGCGCCTGTTTAAGACGTAATGTCAACAAAGCGTAGTTAATCCCATCCCAGTGCCGTGACCCGTACCGTGCCTTACCCCCACGGCACTCGGCCGGTTCTCAACCGTGGCGGACAGGTCTTCTGTGACGGGCCGGTAGAAACAGGAGAACCGCCTGATCACAAACAAACCGTTCTCCAACTTTGACTCACCGCGATTTTGAGTTAGAAAACAGTTTATTTCTAAATATGTAATTTATGGTGTCAAGATTTATTCTCTACCTCTTTTTTTTACTAGACCACAAACATTATGAATGGGAAAATTTTGGTAATCTCCTAATAATAAAACACGTTAACAAATTCTTTCTTTTTTATTCGTGACACCAAAAAGCAAACCTTACACAAGTTACAGCAGGGAAGAAACTCCCTGAATTGCAAAGAGTTTGCGTACAAAATTACAAATTACAACGGACAAGACAGTCGATATGCACATCCCTTATATAATTATTACATATTACATTATTTTGTACCAAACAAACCTTCTGAATTGTTGTACTACACTGTACACGTATACAACTAGTTGCTTATGTTCGCTTCTTTTAATTGTTATCGGGATAAAAGACTGATAAAAGAAAGATGGAGGTTGCCACGGTGTTGTTACTGCTGATCATCGCTACCGTTGTGTACAACGTCTACAAATGGTACCGGGAACGGGAACGGATTGAAAAGGTGAGAACTTCTGTTGTTTGGACGTGGACTAAGACTTTATTCTTAGACACAAATTCTGACTTTCGTATACTAGTATTTCACATCCAGGGCACGTCACATACTCATATTAATTGAGAAAATATGATTGACTTGTGACAACCCCTACATGCTATACATAGGGATATATATTAAAGACTGTATGGATATTAGAAACTCCTCCAACGATTGTATATTAAGTTGATATCTCATACTAGCCACCCACTTTTGTATTAGATTAGCCTTATGAAAATGTAGTTGACATGTACTTGCTTAAGTTAGTAGATGCCCTACTTTGTACACTGTACAACTGTTGCGCAATAAAGTTATTATTATTATTATTATTAATGGGCTTTATGGATCTATTCTTTGATCGAAATATCGCTTAAGTGCTTATAACGTTATTTTCTTAGGTAACGGATAAGTCCGTCCTCATCACTGGCTGTGACACGGGGTTCGGCTTCGGGCTGGCGCAGCGGCTGGACGGGCTCGGGTTCCGGGTGTTCGCGGCGTGCCTTACCGAGGCGGGGGTCGGCTCTGTCCGGGCCGCCTGCTCGGAGCGGACCGTGCCGGTCATCATGGACGTCTCGCAGCACGACAGCGTGGAAAAATGCTTCGAGACGGTGAAGACTGCTATCGGACAAGGAGGTAGGTTTTTTAATCACATTTTTCTCTTCTTTTACATCATAGTAGCAGCAATCCTGTCGATTACATTATGTAGCAAGTGGCAGGGGATGGTCACTGTAATTCACTTTATGTTCAACTTCACAGTAGCAAAAGTTTACGGTCTGAGAAAAATGGACATGTTCACGGAACTATATATTCACGGTGGCGGCAGGTGCAGGAAAAAGAAAGTCCGGGAATTATTTGTTTGTTAACTGTATTGATAAGTTTACTGCACAGAAGTGACTGTGAAAACAGTGAATATAACAGCACAGTGAAAAAATCAGGAATTACTTTAGTAAATGCACATGTAACGTTACATGTATTCGAATGTGTCGCTAGAGTTGCTTACCACTAGTGTGTCTAGTAGTAGTATACTTTTTAAGGTTGTTCAATAAACAAAAATGAAGAAAAAATAAACAGAGCAGTACAAGTAGTTTGTTGGGCTAGAACACGTAAAAATAAACATTATGTATTTGTTTCCCAAAGTTTCACTCTTGGTTTTTATTTTTCAGGTCTATGGGGAGTGGTGAATAACGCAGGTGTGAGTGGAGGTGGTTTACCCGTGGCGGAGCTGTGTTCACTCGACAACTATCGCCAGGCCCTGGACGTCAACCTGCTCGGCACCGTGGACGTCTCACTCACCTTCCTCCCGCTTCTCAAGAGGTAAACAATTTGTTTTTCTTTATATCCTAAGCATTGATTCTACCCTTCTGTTGCGATAACTTCGACAATACCACCGTTTACTAAGGCCAGTAGCTATAGATGCTCAATCATACACGATAACGATAATCGGGCCAAGGATAAGTACTGTACTAAGTATATAAACGTTAGAACATTGCACCGGCAAAAGTCCCCGATCTGAACTAGCTCTTTTCGGCAAGTGCAATGAACGGGGGCCTACCTTAGTTTTAGGACTGCTACCGGTACCATTTCCAGTAGCGTGCATGTCAGGTGACTGTGAGTGACAACAGCCGGGATTCGAACCCCTGACCTTTTGGCCTAGAGACAGGGTCACTAACCATTAGGCCACACACGCTACCCTTGGTGCCGCCTATGCACTGATAATGTGACATTAAACCATCAGATAGTCCACATGGTACAATACCTAACGTTTGTGCAATACTTCGTGTTTCTAAGGGTTAGCTTATGTAGGATATGGTGGTAGGACTACCCCCATTGTTTGTGAATCCGTGCTATTGTTGTGTCATGCATAATTCATGAGACGGACCCCAGACCAGGTAGATCACCTCATTAATATTTCACACACGTCACAACCTGTTCGGTGAGTCGGTGGCTTGGGTTCCGTAAACAAGATGGCCGATCTGCAGGAGAATTATGTGGAGTACTACCAGGGAAAGTCGTCGCAGTGCGGGCTGTGCCTGCAGCTGGCGGAGCGTCCCCGGGCGCTGCCGTGCCTGCACGCGTTCTGCGAGGGGTGTCTGCGGGAGTACGCGCACGGGAAGAAGCGGCTGAAGTGTCCGGTCTGCCGGGAGAGGGTCAAGTTACCGTCCGAGGGCGTGTCTGCACTTCCCGATAACAATGGCGTCAGGTCGCACACCAAGAAACTCTCCGACTACGCACAGATCACCCCGTCCGAGGACACCGTCCGGGGGGAGGGGTGCAGAAGTGCGTCCACCACCCCTGGGAGGACCTGAGACTCGTGTGCCAGCACTGCCACGTGCCGGTGTGCCTCCAGTGTTTGGATGAGATGCACGAGGGACACAGCGCCGTGTCTTTCAAAAGGGTGTCCCGGCGCAGGAAGATCACCGTCCGTAAGCTGGTGACGGAAGGTAAGCGCACCTTAGACTCCTACTACACAACCCTGCAGAGTCTTCAAGACATGCAGAACACGCTGGACCAGGGTAAGAAACACGCCGAAGAAGACGTCCACGCAAGGTACGACGATGTCTTAAGGGGTTTGGCGGAAGAGAGGGCAACGCTACTGTTTGACATAGAGGACAATCACATGCGTAACTCAACAGCTATAGAAGCTCAGAGGAAGAGTTTAGCGTCTCGTGTGGGTGACTTGAACGACGCAATTAACAGCGCAGAAAAGGGTATGGAGCGGGGAGTCAGGGAATCTGACGTTCTTCTGCAAGTTTTGGACAAATGTAAAGAATCCCCTCCCCTTACTGACCCCCCTGTACAAGCACAACTTCCTGTCTTCATGCCAGAAGAGAGCCATTCTCGTGTTCTGGGTCACTTAGTCTGGGAGCCTCTTACTGCAAACAAGGACGCGGAAGACTCCGAGAAAGACCACCTGCCTCCAAACAATGCCACCTTGCTAGAGACTAATATTGACCAAGGGGACAGGAAAACACCAGAGCCGCATTATCCGGCGAAGGGTCACGTTCAGAAACCAGAGTATGTCAATGTACCATCCGATCTTATCGAAAGACCGAGTACAAGATCACCAAGTGCTGCTGATAGCGACAAGAGGGTAGACTACCCCTCCCCTCTAGCTAGCCCAAACCTTGGTCGTGCCAACTATAACGTCAATGGCCTCGGGGCAAGCAAGTCATCAACCAGCCCGGCGACGAAGGTAAGCCGTCGCGCCGGGTTGACGGAGAATACACGGGTACGTGAACCTATTGTGGGTTCAATACAGGAGCTGAGAGAGTTCAGGAGAGGGCAGGACCACGGCCCAGCATCCAGGCAAAGTCCCTTCTCCACGGACCATCCTCGCAGTCCTATAGGCAATGGCGCCATCACACATAACGACCAGACACGCGACAACACCGTTAGCCTGGGGCAGGGGAGTCCAGGGACACCGGCGGGCACGCAAGCGGTACAGCAGACGCCACGGCCCGCGGACATGCGTCTGTCTCCCCCTGAACACAGCCCGAGACTGTCAAGCGGTAGCGACATCCCTGACGACGGGTTCTACCATCACAACAAGCCCGAACACGGTAACTATCCTAACAGGAGACACAGGGTGTCCAGCGACAGTGATAATGTTGATCATCACGCTGTGATAGGAAGACCTGTAAGCGCCACACAGGCACAGCAGAGCAGGACAACACCGACGCACAGAGAAACGTCGTCAGAGGACGGCACACATGTGGAGTTCAGTTCCGGGTTCTACCGAGTCGTACGGGGGAAAAAGAAACGCCCCAAGTCATCAAGTGGCAGCGGAAATGACGTGAAATATGACCAACAGGAAACTTCGACTCATCGGCAAGAGACAAGCAATCAATTCTTAGATGACAGAAATGCTAATCGCACCGTTACACCGCGTCTTGAGGACCAAGTGATGCGAAGAACACCAACCCCCTCCAGGCAACACAGCAACAGGGAACGCAGCCACGGTGGCCCCCTGCTCGATGACGCCCCCTCGCGGAGTATTGATGAACTGCAGCTGGATCCCAGGGTGATGCAGCAACAGGACGAGATGAACCACGCCTGGCCCGAGGTGGTACCGAAACACATCGAAGACGAGGTGATGAAAGAAATCGCCCGCATGTCACACTCTAGCAGAGACTCGTCCGACAATTCCGAACCCAGACGGAGAAAACAAGTCGTAGAGGCACAGATTGAACAAGACGGTACGAAATTGGCTCACAGCAGGGACAATGAACAAGTTACCGATGTACAGGACCAGCCTTCGTACAAGAGAACAGCCGGAACAACCAATGCTGACGTTGGACCACACGGGGACATAGACGTCAGCCCTACCGGTGTACCAAACGTGAAGACTGGGGATATGACGCAGCACGATTATGCCAAACCTGTCACAGAAAAAGACCAGCAGATACACGTAGGGAGTCCTAAAGTCTCACGACCACAGTACCAGGAGAAGGGACGCTCCTCTACATACAGTGACGAGCTCCCGCCATCGCCTGTAAGCCCGGATTCGGACGTGTTCACCCCGAAATACGCCGAAGACAACACCGCGAACTCAGCCGATCTCCTTAATCTGGAGAACAAGAAAACGAAACACAGTCCTTCAGACGATGGTGGCCAGATTTCCAACGTTAGAGAGATCCCGAGACAAGTGGGCCCGAACAAACGTGGGTTGTCGTTCGGCGGGGAGGGTTCCGCGGTCGGCAAGTTCAGCGGGCCGAGTGGCGTGTTCGTCATAGCGGATGAGATCTACGTGGCAGACCAGGACAACAACAGGGTCCAGGCGTTCAGCATGCGCGGCGAATGTCTCGGGGAGCTACCAACAGTCGTAACAACATCCCCACAGAGTCCCACGAAAGGGAAACCAGTACCGATGGAGCCGCATGACGTCGCTGTGGACACAAACGACAACATCTGGGTCGTAGGATCAGACGGCGCGACGTCAGATTTCATCCTACGGTACGACATGGAAGGCCGCCCGTTGACGAAGATAGACATGCCCTTCACCGGGTACTGGCGGGGAGTCGCCGTCCACCCGGGCCGGAAGTTCATCGTGGTGTCCGAGCCGTTCGGCGGAGAGGTGAAGCTGTTCGCCCCGCCGCGAGGCGCCCTGATCCGGACTCTCGGCGGAGAGAGCGGACTGAAGGCGCCGTGGTACGTCGCCGTGGACACCGACGGGAAAATCTACGTCTCCGATTGGTCGGGACACTACATCTACGTGTTCCAGGAGAGCGGGAAGATGCTGATGAGGTTCGGAGGGGAGGGGAGCGACGAGGGACAGCTGCAGTGTCCGTGCGGCGTGTGTGTGGACAGCGCCGGGAACATCATCGTGGCCGACAGTCTGAATCAGCGGGTGGAGATGTTTGACAAGGCGGGGACGTTTGTCAAACACATCGCGACGGAGCTACAAGGACCGCAGGCCGTGGCGATAGCAGCAGACGGCACGATCGTAGTGACTGAAACAGACACGAACTCTGTTAGCATATATCACTACTGATTTTGAAATGGACACAAAAAATGCAATCTATTCAATCATTGCTGACTGAATATGAATGGATACACTATAGATAAGAATGGATAAAAGTGTAAATAGCCTGTATGGTAGCCTTCGATCATACTGCAGTGTGATGTATTTGGCACGCACATGCTGTGACACTTGTTGGAAGACTGATCCATTGGCAGTTTACATGAATTGGATGAGTGAAGCAATACAGTATAAGATTCTAGATCAATCAATGTACATACTGTAGCAGGTGAGGTATCCCTGCCTATCTTTGCCACTGCTATGCCAGTAGTTTGAAATGTTGCAATTAGTTCTTTTATAATTGATATTTTACTTATATTACGTGGTTGTGAACGCAGAAAATGTAGGTAGATATGTACTGCCTATACACAATCTGGGACTGAGCTGTGTTTTATATATCTTATAGAAATCAACGCAAGCTGATAAGGAATTTCTGTAATACCTAGCTGCCTTGTGTAGGGGGCTGATGACACGGTGACCACGTTGCATCTATGCAATGATGAATTAGATAACTATTAACAGCACTACGTCCTGCCTATGTTTAATTTATAGCTATTTGAGGCTGTATTAGCGCTTGATCATTGGTTTATCACCGCGTTGCCTTTCAAAAGAGCTTGTACACGTCTTTTACGACGAATAAAGTGGAAGTGGACTTAAGCTTTCCATTGCCTTTTGTATTATGTTTTCTGTTTCTTCTTCCGTTCCATATACTGACGTCTGACTTGGTCAATGACCTGAACCAGACCGTCTCTCACCATGGTAACTGGTGTTGGATTACATCATGTTGCAATTTTATAGAAGAAGGGATTTAGACTCCTGTCACCATATATATGAATGTGTCTGAGTAAGAATAAACAGAGCAGACCATATGCGGAGGTGAACATTATGCATTTGCCTTACAAATGTTACCTTTCTAGTTTCTATGACATGTTAGTTGTACACATGTGTATACCAGATAAGCACACGTACAGAATCAGGAGCTATCTACAATTTATTATCAGTCTTATATGTAAGAATTACTTTTCCTTGAAGATGCGGAGGACGACTTGTGAACGTGTCCAGCGCCATGGCTCGTTTCGCCACCAGACTGGGCCCGTACTGCACCTCCAAGTTCGCCATTGAAGGCTTCTCCGACTCGCTAAGGTAAGGCACATATTGATGCGTCTTTTGTACGATATTTTGGCGTCTAAGGTACGATACATTGGCGTCTAAGGTACGATACTTTGGCGTCTAAGGTACGGTATTTTGGCGCGGTATCTAATGCACGACATTTTGGCGTCTAATCCACGAAGTTTATGGCGTCTAATGTATGTTATTTTTGCGTATGATGTACAACATTCAAATGACGAGTACGTAACATATGGTTTTGATGCTGACTGTAGGCGATCCCTGTCCAAGTCGTTCGGCGTTTCTGTGCACTTGATCGAGCCAGGAGGCTACAAGACCCAGCTGGTAGATCCCGACAGGGCCCGAGCGGAGTTCACGAACGCCTGGCAGCGACTTCCAGCGGAACTGCAGGAAGAATATGGCGAGGAGTACCGCGACCAAGGTACGCATTTCTGTGAAGTCTGTGACGTATACAATCTGCACAGTATCTGCATGCACAGTTTAGTTAGGGTGGCACTGTTGTCAACCTTAAGCTTTGCCAGTAGATTTAAAAGTCTTTTTTTCTGCGCACATTACAGTGATGGAAAAGGTGATAGAGTCCTTCGGACAGCACGTCTCCTCGAAAATCTATGAAGTCATCGATGCCATGGAGCATGCGCTGTGCGCAGCCAATCCGCGCAGCCGTTACGTGGTTGGCGTCGACGCCATGTTGTTGCTTATCCCGTTGTCATGGTTACCGACCTCCATAGGCGATGCCATATTCTGTAGTGCTCAAAAGCCGCCCGTGCCTGCTGCGCTGAAGAAATCCCACTAATGACACTATGTTGTGTGTGTGTGTGTGGGGGGGGGGGGTATAATGGTTGTACATATCACGGAAGATACTCACTACTTATGGCATACTCAAGGTTTATTTTTGGCAACGTTTCTGGCGGTGCCTTCTTTGTTTTTTTTATAGTGTTCTTAGATACGACTTAAGGTGTGCAGTTTTTTTTCTTTTCTTGGTGTGTATGTAGAGGAATATTTCCAGAAACTCTTGTGAACACAGTGTATACGTCAAAGCATAATACCTTATACAAGAAGCCTTTTTTTAGCTGAGGTTTTTTTATCATGTTGAAAATCTGATACGTAGACTCTTAGTTTTTGCATCATGTTTTTCATTTTGTTCAAAACTTGGTTTGTAAATAATCATTATAACATATTAAAAGGTAATAGCATGAAACCATAACATTTGTGTTCTGGATGTTGTTTACAGGCTTATGGTAAATAAATTTTGTGGGGCAATTCTTTAAGAATGACTACTAAGATGTGCCCTGCAATTGTGCGTAAATGCTGGGTTTTCTAGTTTCTTGAAGTGGACATGGCAGTTACTAAAATTTTATTTTGACATAACTCTCCAACAAAGCGGATGTATATGTCATCAGCGAACATAAGAAATGTTGAATGAATGAATTAATTAGTTAATTAATAATCTGGGCGTGATCTATCCGGATATGAGTCAGCTTAACAGAAAAACAGCATACTCATCTAAAATAAATTACACGGAAACTAACGGAAACTTCCGATACGCACAATCCAATCTTACAGAAAGCAAATTTATAGCTTTCCAACCGCTTGGTCAATTCTTTAAAGAAACATCAGTGAGAAATAGGGACGATGTATTTTTGGAGTATCCAGGAGTCTTCAAAATGCGATCGTGTCTAAAAACAGGCCACCTTCAAAAAATAGAAGCTCTGTTTCAATGTTTACCCTAGTAACCATTGACGATCGTGGTTTGATGATGTGTTTGTTAAGTAGGCGGTCTTTCCTTAATGAGTTTGTAATGAGTGGTTAATGTCAGTTTTATTAGCGCGGGTCGGTTGTTGAGAATGAAAGGTTTCCGGTGATGTCAGGTAGATGTGAGACACCTTTTGCCGTTCACACGCGGCTGATGGTATAAAAGGGACCCTGAGATTGAGTTGTCCAAAAACCAGACCAGCGGGCGCCAGCGAGACAACCAGACCGTCTACACTTCTCTACAAGTCTCTACTTCTGTGCACTCCGGTAAGGTGTCAGAATAGTTTGAAGTAATTTTGCCATTTCTGAAATACTTTTGCTGAAAATAGTAATTTTCTACACTGTGCTCTTTGCTGTGTTTCATTGTACTTTTTCGTGAGAGACCTTGCTGGAAAACTAGTTGTTACCTCTTGTATTTTTTTCAACAAACGAATACTGAATTTTAAACAGTTCTTTTATAGAATGTTTTTATCAAACATCGTATTAGTGAAAAATTTCGTACTGGTTGAATGTTGAGTATCAGGTAAAATATATCAACTGAAATCCGTTTATCGTGATCGTGATGACATTATGGCATTTGAAATCTGGGGAAATGTTCTTGCCAGGAATTCGTTTGAAATGAAACCCAGACATGCCAAAATGCCGAAATTTCACATTCTTACTGGGCGTTTTATGTTACATATCTAACTACAGGCCCTGTTAGGATCCTAGCAAGTTAGTGCTTGAATAGCAACATGAAAACCATTTGGCATCCAACCATTTGTTTGATGCCTTCTCCTCTAGCACAAAAGCATTAAGTATTTCTATGTAATACACAGGTACATGTATTACGGTTTCCCTCCTTCCCTCCAACATTTTGGCGACGCCTAAGGTGCGGAGACATTTTTGATAGGTTACAAAACTTAGAAAATCAAATGTTAATTTAGATATCGATAAGTAACTACCAATGTGGCACATTTTGACGTTATTTTTATGTTGTTTATTACAGAAAAAAGACATGGCGACAACCCGAATCTTCACAGTCGGCCTTCTGGCGTGTATTGCGTTTGTTGGGGCTCTTCGTTGCGCAAGCGCTGCCGCCATACCAGATGACGCAACTTCCGGTACGAATGCTCTACTACAGCTGCGCCAAGCGCTGCACCTGATTGGTCAACAGCTGGATAGGATGGCCACTGCGCAGGTCAACCAAGAAGTGCCGGCGGAGGGATACGAAGAAGGCCACGAAGGGCGAACAGTCACCGAAGATCCCTACGTCATCTTCCGACCAGGATGGGGAAAGTAATCCCCCAACCGACGTGAACGACTAGCATAGAGACAGGACTGACCAATAACCATCACGGCACTTAAATTGATTAAAAGATTGCAATAAAAAAATGTAACACTTGACGATTAAAGGACATGCAGAAGTAACTCACATGGCTTGCGTCTGGTGTGCTTATTATGGGTTCACCACACCACGAAGTGGTGTGGTGAAACCATATTGCTTTTTCTGATGTTTCTTCTCCTTCTCCTCCTCCTTCTCCTCCTCCTGCCATACCTTTAAATGGATTCAGCTTCTTCATTTTAGGGCCTAAGGTCCTGAAGTTTGGTATGGAGGTACAGTGGGCAAATACCCCTAGGCGTTTTTAAATCATTGTGATACAGGCTTTTAGAATGGTTTTATTTGAGTTTTTTGGCTGTGTAATAGCTAATGTATTACTGTGTAAGTGTGCAGTGTTTACCACATTTGGACATGAGTCATCACAATGGCATGCAAGGCATCAACCAATAGGCATGCAGCTTTCCTCTATTCTCCTTGCTGATTGGCTGTTGGGATTTAACTGGCTTAACTTCATTTACACCTGCACAGAGCCATGCCATACTGACAGTATGTCTGTATTCAAGTGTTTTGGTAGGTATTTTAAGCTTTCCTGCTCCAGCATTGGAATGCGGGCTATGAACGCTTCTTTTTATCTTGAAAATCAACAGTTTGCATTATGCAATCCTAACCAATAATGTAGGGAATAGCTATCCAACTGTTGTAGTCTTAGTTGTATGTTACTTCATACTATTAGTTATATCAATGTAAAGCATTGTTTTCCCTTGTGTTTCTCATTCTTTCCCTGCCATGTGGTAAAATGTGGTGAACCCATCGCTATATTTGCTCCAAAGCAAATATTGGCCTTTCTAGTTTTGTGATGTAAGTTTCATAGTTACAGACACACTTACATCAAATCGCCACTGAAAGCTAGATTTTAAGTTAGATGATAGAAGTAAGAGGTTGTAGAGACAGACTGCCCCTATACGGACCACTTGTTCGGGACTGAGTGAATGAATGAATGAGTGAATGAATTACTGAGTGAGTGAATGAGTTAGTGAGTGAGTAAGTGAGTAAGAGCAAGGTTGATTTTTAACCTTGCTGAGAGTCATACTATAAGAATAAGTCTACTGATATTTTGATGTCACAAATCATATGGGTCAAAGTTTCTGATTGGTGAGTAGGGAGGGACAAACAGACACGGTTTCCATGGGAACGCAGTCGTTGACATTTCCGGTTCCGGCGGTGCAGGAATGAGCATTCTTGTTCACCACCGCCAGATGTCTCTTCTGTTATCATTTGTAAAATCTTTTGTTCACATGAATGCACCTTAAAAAGTTTCAAACTCTGTATGGTGAATTGTTTCAACAAATTGTTCCATGCATGTGTTGGCAAAAATGTTCGATGACAAGTTAAAAACGTGAAATCCGTTTTCTACCATCTAAACATTCCAACAAAACGGATAGACTGTAGAAGTACACGAGGATGTTAAATGGTAGCGAGAACCGGTACTAGGTGTGGACCGTTGCGCGTCAGCCCATAAAAAGGTTACTCGAATACTTTGCACTAGTTATGTTCTCGGGTACGTCATCCTGCGTCATCAAATATGGCGTCATCCTGTGGGCGGTAACGTTAGAACACGTAACACAGTTTCCTCCTTTAACGTCCTTCAGTGAGGACGGCCTGTGATTTAACCTAGCATATCAAATAACAGGAGGAAAGAAGTAGAGAAGGAAGAGACCATGAACAAGTCAGCTGCAACAAACCACATCACAACGAACATCTGTGTGACATACTGGAAGAGTGGGAGGGGACAACAACAGTAGATTAAGGAATGCTCATTAGGTACTAAAAGATAATCAATATAATCTATGGTAACGTGCTACTAATCGCACATGTACATGTACCGTAGTCAGTACTACGTAGTACAAATCTACTGTAACATAAGTGTCTTTCTTTCGAATCATTGCACTTGGTGTCACTCGTCGAACTGCTCAGTCGTCATTCAGTGACAGAAAGTAATGCTTACGTTCCTAAGGTACACCGAGTCACCTGTCTCTTATCAGCTGAATTGAGGTGTTCAAAAAGACGCATTTCCCAAGAACTATCGTAGAGGGGAACTCGCTGCCACCAAGCACAGTTGGGGCGTCATCACTAGAAAGCTTTAAACAACTCCTGCAATTAAATGTACAGAGATTGTGTGTAACAAGTCGTTCGGTGTGATATAGCTAGCTGCCGCCGTGCCGCGTGCCTGTGAAGCTGGTGTGTTATGCCGAAGGCTGGTTATACCGGCTATACTGATACAGAAGCTGGTGTGTTACGCCGAAGGGCGGTTATACCGGCTATACCAATACAGATACAGATCAACGTGCAGGGGGTTGACTGCCCTCCCATACACGGGACTGAAAAGTTAAATTCCATCCTAAAAAGAATATTTAGTAGCTCATACTTGCCCTACGACCATACCATAATAGGTGTCATAAAACCTCGTGTGAGGTAAATAACTTGTTTACACCAACGGAAAAAATAGGAGAACCAACACAATCACACGTTGGTCAAAAAGGTTTTTAACTTTTTGATCGAATGATTTTCTTCTGATCGTGCTGTATACGTGGGAACCTGCGCACTCGCACAAACAGGTTATTTCCGGCTGATCCCTAATGGCCGCTGACAGATGAAAAGGTCGAATTTTCGGTGTTTGATCAACCCGATCAGCAAATAATTTGTAAACATGTGCATTTCTCACGCTGCCCACTTTCTCAAACAAGTCACAAAGGAAGCAATAATCAGCTAAATTGGTAAAAGGGATGGTTTTGTGGAATTTTATGGTTGCGTAGGAGTGTCCTTTGTTGGTGAGATGTATAAATTCTGCTTGTGAGTTTCGGATTCACCAGACCTACACGGAAGGCTACACCGATACTGCACTGAGAAGCTACGAGACGTGTATCAACGTAACCCAACTTGGTAAGTCTTGCCTTTTCTTTTCCTGGTCGATGTTTCAGGCATTTTCACTTGTAAAGTGTTTCCGTCCTGACGCTTGTGTTCTTACTTTATCATATTGGTTTACTTTTTTTTGCGGAATAGAAACTGAACGTTTGTCAACATGTATCTCGATATCCTTAATGGTAAATGTGTAAAACCTTCTATAGGATGGTAGAAAGTTGATGCAACATACAAAACAGTTGGTTTGTATCCATTTTCCATTGAACCATTTTTCTATGTGATTCATTTATCTTAGTTAGAGACGGGTGGCCTCAACCAGGCTTCGGGAAGCGGTGGGGAAGACGGATAACCGTGAGATAACATACCGGGGGAATTGGTCCACACTGAGAGAACATATTTTTCCGCTCCAAAAGCCTGGTAGAGGCTTGAGGACGGGTCCAATGTACCCACCAAGCAGAGATCGGTGCATGGAGACGATTGTGACCTTTCTAATATTTCCCGTTTTTCTGTCGCTCCCCCCCCCCATGGCACTTTATACAAGTACCCATATTGACTAATCCAGAAATTGGGAAAGGGGAGTTGTAATGTAGTCCACATGAATTTTTGTTACTTCTTGTAACGACCGATGTTCTCCCTACAGCTACAATGGCCATGAAGATGTCCCTTCTCCTGACTGTGGCGGTGATGTGCCTGGCTGTGGCCATCATGGCGGACCCAGTACCCGCATCCGAAGCCCAGAACGAGGCAGCCAACGGCCACGTGACCGCCATCCAATCCGAAGCCGTGCACCTGCTGAAGGAAATGGCCATCTTCCTGCACAAGGTCGCCGCGCAGGACCTGGACCTCCCCGCCAACGTGAAGCGGGATGACGACCCTTTCCGCACACAGGGCTGGTAACCTGGGCAACCGATGACGTCAGAGCAGACGCCTCCGCCCCTGAGGCGTCGCCAAATATAATTCCGTAACGGACACTGTGTAGTTTATTGTTTATTCTTTCACCGAAGAACTGTAACAACAGACGAAATCATAACTATGAAACGAACTTTCATTGACGCAATAAAACGATGGAATCATCATCAGCTCTATTTTAATATCTTGCTGTCTCTGAGAGAATGGTTTGAATGTGAATCAGACGTCACCTGTAACAAAATGCGAAGAAACCTGTTTTTGAATCAGTAATAAACCGTTACGAACATGCAACGTTTTTATCCGTCTATCTGTATGTGAACGAGTAACAAAGGTTTGAAAGGTCTTGTTAAGCATATAAGGTACAGTACGTCCTTATGATATAATTTGTACATTATCACAGTATTCTCCACCTAGCAGTATTTATCAGAACTACAACAAGTACTTAAATGTAGAAGTGTACAATACTTGCTGCTCGTATGCGGCATCTTTAGGCAGTTTTCTTCCCAATTATAAACGGCATAAGCACTCCTAGCAAGTCTGTGGTTGATTTGCAGAAAGAAACTGTCTATTTCCCTTAATTCTGAAAACCTGGCTTTTACAATTAGATTCAATGGCCCCCAGTTTAGCCAACTCACGGTCATCTGACGGTCTCACAGCGCCATCTCGCAATATTGATCAGAACTGCAACACGTACTTCAGCAGTATGTAAGGCCACACCGCCTTAATTTTATGGATGACATCCGATTTTCGTCTGTTCTACAAAAAAAAAAGAAAAGAAAAAAAACGATCACGTCATCCAAGACTCTGCCCTGGGTAGTCCATGGCAGCTTGCTATATAGCGACAGCACGGAGCCGGTGGTAACAGCCGTTACAGGCTTTCAATTCATATTAGATGGCCTCACGGCCAAGCCTGTACAAGGCTATCAACCCCCTTTAGTGTCCCATGTCCAGGCCTGTTCCAGGCTATCAATTCATTTTGAATGGCTACAAGTCCATGGCCAAACCTGTACAAGGCTGTTATGCTTTGTAGGATGACGCAATCAGGCAACCACGTGTGTTAGTGACTCGTTCCCACGGTTTCTACATCAGGGGCGTAAATAAGAGATTTACCGAATCCCGGTATAGTGGAATATTTCGCTAACAATCACCCCTTGCACACCCCTCTTCTTGCTCGTAAGTTTATATGGTTCCGATTCTTATAAATTTAATTTTCTTTTGGACAATATACGAGATCTTGATCGTCCTACGACAGAAGTAGGAAGAAG